CACAGGTGATTGGTTATTACCCAGCTTCGGTATTTGCTACGGAGAACACCCTAGGACAAGGGGGTAGCTTCTGATACATTCTTTTCCGGCTCCTGTTCCAGGTGAGGAAACAGATTTCCCAAGAGGCTGAGGGACTCCATGAAGGGCCCCTAGCTATTCAGTAGCAGATTGGGTGGGGAGTCAAAATTGGGAACACAGATATGACTACCAGCCAATGTTCTTCACTTAAGTGTCTAAAAAACGTGTTCCCCAAATAAGTGGAAACCATTCTCTAGACTAAAAGCAGCCATTCTGCTCCCAGACCCATTAGGACTTCTAGTATTGACAAGACAGAATTTAACAGTAACAGTGAATGTCAGGATTCTGCTTAAAATCCTGAGGCCACCTAGTGTGGAGAATTGTACTGCATTATGTGTACGCCTGCCTGTCCTCTCCACCAGGGATGGACTGTGTCCTGTTCCTCTTTGTGTCCCCTCCCATCTGCACAGCATAGATTTTGTACATAGTGAACACTAAGCACATCTTTTTTTTAAATAAATAAGTGTCCAAAATACCAGTCAGAACAGGATGGGAAAGATGCTCCCTAGATTGAGAATGAGGAAAAAAATTACCTGGATTTTATGAAATAGAAAACAGAGAGGGTAGCCACCTGGCTGTGGGGAACCTACATAGTATAGGTTCTAGACTAATACACATTTTTCTAGAGCCTCATCATTCAGAGACTCTCTTACTTCTTAGAACATTTTGTTGTCTAATTAGAAGCTCCACACACCTCTCATCAGTGTCCCTCCTAAGGGACTGGCACACATGCACTCCCTTTGGAAAAGCTTAATCAGCCCTAATTGAGTCATAAAAACTAACCCAAAGTCATTGGCCTTTTAGAAAGATGTCAACACCCTTAAGATAACCTGGGCTCCAACTCCTCTGTAGCCTTCACAGGGGAGTAAACATTCAAGTTCTAAAAGCCTGAATTATTCTGCCAGCAATCCCTGAATAAAGATCCCTTTCTTCTCAAGAACATTCACTCCACTGGCATTTTATTTCTCTATGAAACAGAACCTCAGACTCCAAGAAGAATCATAGAACTTCAAAGTTCAAAAAGCCTGTTTCTGTAGTGACTTTACAAAGAAGAAAACTGGTGTCAGCTCCTACTGTTTTAGCAGAATTCCAATCTCAGAAAAGTGTTATTGCATTCCTGGAAATCAGAAGCCTCCCTGACAGAGCAGAACCCAGTGTCATCTGATCTAAGAGTCATTGAATCAAGCAAATAAAATTAAAACTCTTTAATCTCAAACTGGGCACTGGCAGCTCATGCCTATAATCCTAGCTACTCAGGAGGCAGAGATCAGTATCACAGCTCGAAGCCAGCCCAGGCAAATAGTTCGTGAGACCCTATCTTGAAAAACTCTTCACAAAAATAGGGCTGGTGGAGTGCTCAAGGTGAAGGCCCGGAGCTCAAGCCCCAGTACTGCCCAAAAAAAAAAACCTTTAATCTCCAGGTCTTTCCATTGCAGCAATACAAATATACCCTAAGCTTTCAACCATTAATTTCACCTCCATAAACATCTAGAATGGCTTAATATTAATCATTGGCTACAAAATTCATAATCTTATTCTCAAGGTATATTTATTTTGCATTTGATAAATAAAAGTATCATTTTCTTTTTTTTTTTTTTTTTTTTTTTGGTGGTGGTGGTGGTTCTGGGGTTTGAACTCAGGGCTTTGTTCTTGCACGGCAGAGCTCTACCACTTGAACCACTCTTCCAGCCATTTTTGCTCTGGTTATTTTGGAGATAGAGTCTTCCTTTTTTGCTCAGATTGGCCTGGACCAAGATCTTCCTATTTTTAGGCTTCCATCCATCCCTGGTATGACTGGCTCATGCCACTAATACTGAGTATTTTTCAGTTGAGATAGGGTCTTGATGTTTTGCCCAGGCTGGCCTAGAACTCTGAACCTCCCTATCTCGGTCTCCTACATAGCTTGGGAAGACAGTCATATGCCACTGAGCCCAGCTATTGGTTGAGATGGGGTTTTGCAAACTTTTCTCCCGGGTTATCCTCTCAACCTTAGTCTCTCAAGTAGATAGGATTGCAAGTGCATATCCTTACAACACACCTCCGAAAGCCCAGACTCCTCTAACAGCCTCCACTTAATAAGTTTCCTATAGCAGGTGACAGGTAATAAGCAGGCATTTCTAACCCTGTTTTGAAATAAGGAAACAGCCTCAGGGATTTGAACTTAGTGAATCAGTTGTAAGACTGAACTAAGAATCAAACTTTAAGATGACCTTGAATCAAATCCAGCCAGAAAAGAAAAGCATAAATTGGTAGTGACAATTATTTAGTGGAATGTGACTCCAGAAAAAGTCAGAATAGCCTCATTTAAAAAAGAAAAAAAACCTTACTGTCAAATTCTAAATATTATCATACATATGCCATTACCTTGGCAAAATCATCAGATAGGCTTGCAGTTTGGGGTATAGCCATATGTTATCTATGCTGTATCTATGCTGTTTTATTTTCCTGTGTGGAATACTAAAATGACTATTTGCCTCACAAAACTACTCATTGTAATATGTGCTTATTCTTAGATTTTTACATTTTATTTTAAAATCTAGTCTAAAGTATTTGGTAACATTAAGAACTGGGATCAGAGTTAAAGGGAGCTGTTCATCAAATTGGAAGCATATTATCTGAAGAAGGAGGGACTCCATCAAGACCACCCAACCCTCTGGTTACCATGCTCAGTGAGCACGGGGAGAACAGGTCTGACTCCACCCCAAGGCTTTAACTTCCTTGTACCAAAACATGTTCCCCAATTAAATGGGAATAGCACTCCAAACTCAAGGCAGCCCTTCTCCTCCCAGATCCATTAGGACTTGTAATACTGACATGATGTATTTAAGAGGAATGCTGAAGATAAATGGGACCTCATAAAACTAAAAAGCTTCTGTTCATCAAAAGAAATGGTCTCTAAACTGAAGAGAACACCCACAGAGTGGGAGAAAATATTTGCCAACTATACATCAGACAAAGGACTGATAACCAGAATATACAGGGAACTTAAAAAACTAAATTCTCCCAAAACTAATGAACCAATAAAGAAATGGGCAGGTGAACTAAACAGAACTTTCTCAAAAGAAGAAATTCAAATGGCCAGAAAACACATGAAAAAATGCTCACCATCTCTAGCAATAAAGGAAATGCAAATTAAAACCACACTAAGATTCCACCTCACCCTGTTAGAACAGCCATCATCAGCAACACCACCAACAACAGGTGTTGGCGAGGATGCGGGGAAAAAGGAACCCTCTTACACTGTTGGTGGGAATGTAGACTAGTACAACCACTCTGGAAAAAAATTTGGAGGCTACTTAAAAAGCTGGACATCGATCTACCATTTGATCCAGCAATACCACTCTTGGGGATATACCCAAAAGACTGTTACTACAGAGGCACCTGCACATCCATGTTTATTGCGGCACTATTCACAATAGCCAAGTTATGAAAACAGCCAAGATGCCCCACCACTGACGAATGGATTAAGAAAATGTGGTATCTATACACAATGGAATTTTATGCAGCCATGAAGAAGAACGAAATGTTATCATTCGCTGGTAAATGGATGGAATTGGAGAACATCATTCTGAGTGAGGTTAGCCTGGCTCAAAAGACCAAAAATCGTATGTTCTCCCTCATATGTGGACATTAGATCAAGGGCAAACACAACAAGGGGATTGGACTATGAAACACATGATAAAAGCGAGAGCACACAAGGGAGGGGTGAGGATAGGTAAGACACCTAAAAAACTAGCTAGCATTTGTTGCCCTTAATGCAGAGAAACTAAAGCAGATACCTTAAAGCAACTGAGGCCAATAGGAAAAGGGGACCAGGAACTAGAGAAAAGGTTAGATTAAAAAGAATTAACCTAGAAGGTAACACCCACGCACAGGAAATCAATGTGAGTCAATGCCCTGTATAGCTATCCTTATCTCAACCAGCAAAACCCCTTGTTCCTTCCTATTATTGCTTATACTCTCTCTACAACAAAATTAGAGATAAGGGCAAAATAGTTTCTGCTGGGTATTGAGGGGGGGAGCGGGAGGGGGCGGAGTGGGTGGTAAGGGAGGGGGTGGGGGCAGGGGGGAGAAATAAACCAAGCCTTGTATGCACATATGAATAATAAAAGAAAAATGAAAAAAAAAAAAAAAAAAGAGGAATGCTGAATGTCTGGCTAAAGCTTTCATGTCTCTTCAGAACACCTCCTCTTTCCCACCCCTGCTCTGCCACTTGCATGTATTTACTGCCCCTGGGATTTTAAAGCTCAACAAATTTGGACTTGTTCATGAAGAAAAAAATGAAAGAGCTGAAAGTTTGATGACAAATTGCCCTCCCCACACCACAACATGCACAACTCTTTCTGTTTCTGTAAGAAATAAAAGACACAACAGTGGAGAATGGGGGAAGTGCAAAAGGTTAGAGATCAGGAGTGGTGTTCTGGTCAGAAATTGGGGGGTACAATGAAGCTGAGATACTCATCCTCAAAATAAAACCAACAGGAAATTTCAAAATGCGGCCAACTCCAGAGAATAATAAAATGCAGAGAATACTGATTTGACTAACTCTTCAGCCAGCACTCTTCCAAGACCTGGAGGGATGTTATTTAGTTTTATAAACAAGGTCTGGGCTGGAACCTAGATTCTCTCATTCCTGTCAAGCCCATCACACCAAACCTCAAGCTAAATTCTCTCTTGCAAAAATTGCTGAGAACCTGAAGACTTCTTGGGACAAGACTTTGCACCCAGAAAACAGAAAAGAAGGCTCTTGCCCCAATGCATTTATATTACCCATTTTCTATCTGTCTGCTTGGGCAGCAGGCTGAGTGGGAGGACCCATACGTGTGGATGCCCAGCACAGTGCCAGGGCCTGGGAGGCAGACAGTACATCTTTTTACTAATGGATGGTTTTTTACAACATGATAAACCTGAATTCTACTCACACTTATGAGACAGAAGCACATCAAAGGAATCTGCCCACCTCGTAGCTTCTTCTGTGGATAATCTCCTAAGAAAGAAGAAACATCTCTCTTTGAGTATTTCTGAAATGATCTTCTCTCCCCCAACCACCACTGAGATTTTCCCAGGAGAACAAATTGGACCAATGGTGGGGGGGGGGTGTAAAGATCACACCTGGATTCCTGCAAATCTGTTGCTGTAATTTTGTACATTCTTAAGTAATAGCTGAAAACACCACCAGGTGGGATTTCAGTATATTGGCTTTCAGTCCCAGCAGCAAAGCTAAGTAATTGCATGATTTCAAGATGTCAAGGTAAGAGTGGAAAGAAACTGGCCTTGAAGTCAGAAAACTCAGGTTCAGCTCCTGACTCTGTCTCTTACTGTCACCTTGATTTTTTCACCTTTGAAAGGGAGAAAGCAATGCCCTTTACAGAGTTGCCTGAGAGTGAAACGAGGTAACAACTGTGACATCATTTAATATGGTGCCTGCACAAAATAGGTGCTGAATACCAAAGATCTGACTCTAAGTGTATTTTTAGAGTAAGTTTGAGTGTTTATTTCCAAATCAAGAGCTCAGATTGACAACTAAGGAGAACCAAGAAGTACCCTTCCCCACCCACAGCTCCATGAGTGACAGGTGCTATGACTTCCTTAGGAGAAGGAGGGTTCCCATTCTGACATCACTGAGCTATACATTCCTCTCACAGCCAGCTGCCCAGAGGCAGGACTTATAGCATCCTGAGCCTTATCTGGCCAGCAACTCACTAGAGACAAATGCCCCAGAGGCACCCTATGGTGGCACCCCAGAATGTTATGTGGAAGGATGACTCACTTGAGAGCACGGTTGGGTTTGTCAGGAAGAATAGCTGTGAAATCACTACACGAGTCTGACTTGTGAGACAGGCATCCAAGTCGAGTCCTCATCCCTTTGTTCCTGCAACAAGCATGGGGGCAGAGGGACAGGACTGTCATGATCACAGCTGTCAGTTCTATGAAGGGCTCCTAGAACTACTGCTGCAGAAACTGGCAACACCCCTCCCCTCCCAGCCCTCGTTGGTCCCGGAAGATTTGATGAACAAGAAGAGAACACCTAGAGAGGCAAGGGAAATGCCCACTTCTTCTCTTGACTACTGGTTACCCTACCCCTAGAGGCTGAGAGGCTTTTTAAAGCTGACAAGGCAAGTTTATGGTAAGTCAGTGAAGGTCATTAGCTTGGAAGAATTTCTAAATTAGGGTTCTCTGTAGGGAAACAAAATACAGTGGTGACAAAATAGCAATCCACATTTTGCTTTCCCACTAGGAGGGCACACTAGCAGCCACAGCAGCAGCTCCTAATTGCAAAGTCACAGAAGCGCAACACACCGGGAATAGAGGGATGCTTGCAGAAGGCAGGGGTGCATATCCGAGGAGCAGAACACAAATGTGGGGCTTCAAGGCAGATCAATTTCCACTCAGCTTCTCCCTACTCATCCCACCCTTTGGCTTGCATACACAAATGCCTACAGACCAGCCAGGATTGGCGCCTGCAGACAAGGAGAGCAATGAACAGAATCCACAAATAAGAACCAATATCCCCTCTGTCAGTTCTTAAACTTGCTTAACTAGACTCTTACATTCCTATTTTTATTTTGGCTTATCTCAGTTCGCATCTATGTAAATTTTGGGTATGTACATTTAAATTTCTCCTATTTTTTTATTTTTCAAAAGAGTCACATAATGGCAGAAGCCAATGAGAAGTCATACTAATGTCTCTTTCTGAAACCCAGCGTTAGCTCCTATTTACTTTACCAGAGACTGGCAAACCACAGCCCTTCAAGATTCCTGTTTGTGCAAATAAAGTTTTATTGGAACACAGCAGCACCATTTGTTCACATATTGTCTAAAGCCGCCTTCAACCACAAGGGCAAAGTTAGGCAGTTGCAACATGACCTATAAAGCCAAACATATTTACTCTCTGACTCTTGCTAAAATAAGCTTGCTAACCCCTGATCTTTAAGTATGGTAACTTCTTATGTTGAGAGCAAAAGTAAGTGGGAAATGCTTGGTATCATCAGATCAGGACTGCCTTATAAAAAGGGAACTGTCACATGCATAGTGGTAGCAACTTGCCATGGAAATATCCTAGAAAATGCCATTCTGGCTTGTTAAAAGCAAGTCCTTCAGGCCTAGTTTTCTTTTCCTCTTTTACGCAAATCTCAGAACTGGGCGGACCTGAGAGGTTACCTAATCCAATGACTTTCTTTTACTTCAAATGGATTTCCATCCATAACTCTGCTACTTGTCCTCATTCACAGAAATCTTATCCGACTAATGACTACTGGGATGGCATTATATTTGGCAGGAATTGACAAATTTTGTGTTCCACATCACATCTCTGAAGAGCCTCTTAAGGCTGGAACATCCAGGTTTCTCTCCTGTAGAAAATTGGCCTGCAGGTTCCTGCTCCCACCTCTCCTCTCAGCAAGGCCGCCCAGTGAAGCCAGCTACTCCATGGCCTTTCAAAACAATCACTATAGCTCCTTTCTCTGCTGATACAGTCAGCATCTTTACGCTCCACTCATTCTTACAAGTCACAGGGTACCCAACACCAGGCCATGTGAGCAACCGATTAAAGGTCCTTGAGCCATCATATTCTGTGTATTCATGCAAAAATGTCCTGCTGCAGCCACACCATGGGTCAGAACCCAACCTCCAGTGAGCTGGCTCCTTCTGCACTGCCTTAGGATCATCAATCATAAAACAGTCAGGTCACTGCCTCCAAAGATCAATTAAGAGGACTCACAAAAGTGGCAAATCCACACAAGCCATTTAACAAGGTTTAGTGGGGGCCAATGTTCAGGGTGCTACTTGCTACCAAGACAGCTGAGATTCTCCCAAACAGTTTGCACAATGTCTTCAACAAAATCTTTTGTGGGACAAAATGGTTTTTATTTTCTATTTTTCTAGCTGAGACCTGATTATAATCTTCTTAGGTCTGAAGTAACAGGAGCAAAAGCAAGAGTCAAAGGGTAAGTTGGAAGGAAGGAAGGAAAGAAAGAAGGAAGGGAGGGATGGAGGGAGGGAGGAAAAGAAATGAGCCTTTTCCTCATGTGTCTTTTTCTATAGTACCTGTCCCAGTAACTCACAGAGGTCCTAAATGGTTCCATACGAACTCATGCACAGTCCCTCACCCCACCCCATAAGTCACCAACAAAATGTCCTATAAAGTCAGTGGAAGGTCACGGGGCTAAGGCAGGTCCTACTTGCAAGGCTACAACTTCGCAAGAAGCAGACAGGCAAGGACAGCGCAGTCCACAGGAGGCCTAAGGGAGCGGATGCAAGTGGACCACCCAGGGGCTTAAAGGCTTGCGCCAGACTCAAAACAGCATGGGAGGTGGGAAAATGTAGAAAAGAGGAGAGGGGCAGGGACAAGAAGACAGGTCATCAACCCATTACCTGCGTGGCATCAGTAAGGCAGCCATACAGGCATCCGCTTACGGTTACCCCTTGGGCTGGTTTGCAGGGACGTCAGGGCAGGAAATAAGACTGCAGGGCTCAGGGATTTACCCTTTCACGTCCTCTCACCTAAAATCAAAGAATCTGCTGTAAGAGGGGCCACCCTCTCTCATCTGACTGCCCGATACATCCTTCAGAGGACTCTGCAACAATGGAGTACCTCCCCACACACAAACAACCCAGCCCCCACAAATGTCCACTTGTCTTTCACAAGGGTGACCAACCAAGGATGGACGAGAACAAATTGGTGGGTGGCTTCACACTGCTGACTGTTGGTCAGAATTTGCTACTTCCCCAACCATCAACAGAAATTGGGACGTGGGCCCCTGGGAGGCATGGGGCTGGCCAACCAAAAATTACTGTTCTCTTTCTCTTACTAGAGTGGGGCCCAAGTGAGCAGCCAGGGTAGACTAGGGGAAGGGGGCCAGCGCTTGCTCAAAAATAATTTGACTGGATGCTGCTCTGGTTCTTGCCTCCCTCCAAGGGCACCTGCCCCAGGTGGGTGTGCCTGAAGACTCAGGAAGGTGGGAGTGGGAGGAAGATTGGAATAACTCAGATGGAGGCTGTCAGGCATCCTCACCACACCAGTTTGCTCCTTTTATAGGGATCACAGGCTCGGGCTGAAAAAAAATAAATATGCAAGTCACTCTTCCTCCCATATGGAGCTTGCGGTGACCTTCCTCAGCCTGAGAACCGGCCCATTCTTGACCCGAAGCCTGGGAGGACAGGGGGTGGGGGAGGGGGTAGCGAGGTTGAGGGCTGATTGACTTATAGGCTCTCTCTCCTGAGTGTTCCATTCTCTTTGCTTTCGACCCATTGTTCCCACAGAAGAGAACGGATAGGAAGAGACACTGAAGAGAGCAGCCTATCCATAAAGGGTTCCCCTGGGGGAACTCAGACACCAAACAGAGAATCCATTTTAAAAGAAACCTAATTTAGAGAGATAAGGCTCCTATGTGAGCTACACCATTTAAATTGTTTTGGTATTACTATGAACATTTCACAAATACTTTTTATTATAGTTAATAAAATAAAAAGATTATTTCATTAAATCTGAAAAGAAAAAATTAGTTAGGTTTTATGTAAATGCTATTCTTGTATATTATGTTCCCTGGCAAGAGGGACATTTCCTCAATCATTGTCCTAACTAGGTTGACACCTGCTTGCCCAGAAGTCATCAAGGACCTCGATAGCCTTAAGGTCCCTAGAAACCTAGCACCTAAGCCTCACTTTCTCTAGTTTGTGGGATATACCCCCAGGGAGTGGGGAAGCCCCTACCAGGGAGAGGGGAAGCCCCTGCCAAGGGCTTCACTATCCTGGAGCTGAGCAGAACCAGAGACTACTAACCACATATACCACAGGCAAGGTCATTTAGGGGAGGGGACCACTCGGCTCCATCCTTTTGCTGTCCCTCTTCCATTCCTGCTGCCAGCCCGCACTGGCTTGCCTGTGCTGTCCTAACACCTGCTTCTCTCTCCTCCAAATCTACCACTACCCAAACTGCCTCTTAGACCCCTATCACTCCTTCGATGAGCTCAGCCTTGAACGCCTCTAAATAAGAACCAGAAGGACACTCTGACCCAACTGTCTTGTCCATTCCAGCACCTCAGGGCTCTTATCCCATTTGGTCTGAGACTTCTGGGGACAGAGGAAGGAATTACCTTGAGCCCAGGAAGTTCGAAAGTGTGACTGCATCCACGGTGCATGTACCCTTGTAAGTGGACACCAAATCACAGGTGACTGGGGCAGGCAGGATGGGACAAAATGGAAAGAGAGGATACTCAAGAAAAAGCCGAAGATTTATAAAGAGGAGAGATGCTAAGAGCCCCAGCAGGGAGAAAGCAATCAATATGCATGAAGAGGCAGGTTAATTAAATATGGATAAAGCAATCGGTGCACATGGACACCCCAGCAAGAAAGGAGAAAAGCAAAAAGCAATACTCACTGTCGTGGACCAGTCCTCATGGCCTGCAGGTCTTTGCCAACTGGATGGTCAGAGAGGCTGCGGGTTAAGGAGCTCTGAGGAAAGAGCAGATCTTTCTCTTAGCAGTGAAATCCTTGGCAGATGAAGGGCATGTTTGCATGGACACATGGGCACACACACACACTCACACTCACACAAGCATGCATGCACAGCACACCTCCCACCACTTGAGCCAGGCAGCAAGGAGCCCCACTGAAAGCTCTTCACTCTGCTTGTCACATCCAGTAAATACTGAAGCAGCCTACACCCAGCGGGCGGCAGCTCGGCTCCCGGGCACAGTCTGCACGCCCATTTTCCTTGGCAGGATGCAGGAGATGCCCCTGAGCAGAGCTGACCTGGCACACTTCCCGCACCTTCCTCCTCAGCCTCACTAACCTGAAGCTCCTCTGGCTGCAGCTCAGGAAGAAATCCCCACAGCCCACAGCTGCCTCTCTGCACCCAGCACAGAGTAGGTATTAACTCTTTCGGGCCACAGATGAGCTGAAAACCAAGTGTCCAGGGGACTCTCTTCTAATGAGCTCTGCTGCTGGCTGAAGACTGGTTGCTGCACATGGAACAGGGAGCATAAAGATCTTGCCCCAGACAGCTGCTGACAGCAGGAGCCAAGCCGAATCAAATCTCCTAATGAGCCAGGAGGAGGGGGGATGTCTTGCTGGGTGTGATGTGATATGATAAATGCAGAGAGCAAGAAAGCTACAGGGCAGGTCACACATCTAAATTCCACCCCCTTTCTCCTAATTTCTATTGTGCTACACTACCAAGCCAAACCACACAGCCCTAAAATTACCCCTCTCTGCCACATCTCAGCTGTCCCCTTCCTATATGGAGGCATCTCTCCCCTAGCCCATTTCCTCCCCCACCCCTTACCAGAGCCAACCACACTGCTCCCCACTTCTTAATGAGAAATTTCCACCTCCTCCGCCTCCCCAAACGTGCATATTTCCAACTCTGTGCTCCTGCCTCTCACCTGGTTTTTCCTACAGCAGAAACTCACCTCTCTGCCTCATCCATCACCTAGCAACTTCCCCCTACTTAGACTTGTGATGGAGCGAGGCTTTCCCCTTTGTTCTGCCCAATCTGTATATCATCCCTATTTTTCTGTCTCTTTTCCAGTTTTTCTTTCAAATTGCTTTACCTGCATGGATCTTCACGATGCCTGATTCCATTCCAGAAAAAAGATCCTTTTTGCTTTCCCTCCTACAGGGGTTCTCAAGAGGGGTGCCCAGACCAAAGGCATCAGCATCACCTGGGAAAGTGTTGGACAGGCTGGTTCTCCAGCCCCACCCAGAACTACAGCATCAGAAACTCTGGGAATGGGGTGCAACCTTCCAGGTGACTCTAATACATACTAAAGTTTGCAAACTTCTCTAGGATTAAGCTTATCTTCTGTCTGTTAGACTCTGAGTCTCCACGTCTACCTAAGTAGAACCAGCTCCAAATACACCTTGTCTTTGCTGAAAGTCATTTCTGAAACCTAGAAGCTAGTAGAAATTTCTACAGAAGGTGATTGCTTTACCATAAAGGTAATAGATTCCATTCAGTTAACTTTTTAAAATATAAAAAGCAAAGCCAGCTGTGATGGTATATGCCTATAATCTCAGCACTCCATTGGGGAGGATGAGGCAAGAGGACCACGAGTTCGAGGCCAGCTTAGGCTACACAGTGAAACCCTGTCTCAAAAATGCAAGAAAATGTATAAAGCCTTTTCATGTATTGGTCTCTCAACTATCCTATACCATAGTCAGAAAGGGTAATATTATTCTCATGTTACAGATGAGAAAAGTGAGACTGGACATGATGAAGTGCCTTTCTCAAAGTGATACAACACACAGTGTCACATTGAGAAAGTTCTAAGTGTCAATTAGAACTTGATTCTAACTAAAGCAGATACCTTAAAAGCAACTGAGGCAATAGGAAAAGGGACCAGGAACTAGAGAAAAGGTGAGATCAAAAAGAATTAACCTAGAAGGTAACACACACGCACAGGAAATTAATGTGAGTCAATGCCCTGTATAGCTATCCTTATCTCAACTAGCAAAAACCCTTGTTCCTTCCTATTATTGCCTATACTCTCTCTACAACAAAATTAGAGATAAGGGCAAAATAGTTTCTGCTGGGTATTGAGGGGGTGAGGGGGAGAGGGAGGGGGCGGAGTGGGTGGTAAGGGAGGGGGTGGGGGCAGGGGGGAGAAATGACCCAAGCCTTGTATGCACATATGAATAATAAAAGAAAAAAAAAAAGAACTTGATTCTAATGACTCTAACAGGAGAGTTTTTCCTATTGTCATGCCAGGACCCAGTCCCTCTGGGCAGATCTATTGGTGCATAGCCTGACAATAAAATGATTCTTCCATAGCTATTCATTTCTTGATGCTTGGATGCTTGGATGAAATCAAAATTCTGATGCTTGCCTCTAAGGTGACTCATTGTCTCTCTCTCTGATAATGTCCACAGCACCCTTCTGTTGGGCAAAGGAAATTTAGTGTTATAAAATGAGATGCAGCAGGAAAGTTTTCTGTTCTTTGTAACTTATGCCTTGAGCCCTGATGCTAGCCCAAATTTAGAACTTAAGCCAAAATAGGATCTTTCACTTCTGGACATTTTCTAGGTACACAGTACCACAAGAAAAAGAAAAGGACACTTCTCAAATCCAAGATGAATTTATGCCATATAGAGAGTCCACAAGGCTAATGTTCAATGAACATTTAATATGTGCTAGACACTGTGCTCAACATTACACTTGACTTATCTTATTTATCTCTCACTACAAATATACAAAGTCAACTCATTTATCAGCTTCTTTATAAGCCCTTTATATGTGGCAGAGCTGACATCTGATACTAAACTCAGAGCTATCATGCCCTTTACTCTAACACAAAGGCATTGTCATCACAGAACTCTTCTCTACTAAAATGGTGGGGGGCAGGCCTTCTCCAGTCTCATACTGATAACCAGGATGCAAAGGCACTGGGAGAGAGGGTGGGGCTGCAGATGAGCCCAGGTCTCAAGTGGGGGGGCTGATCAATCCTAAACAGGCATCGGAATCTTCAATTAGTCTTCACAGAAATAATAGAGTTGCAGGAAATCAATAGGTCACGTGCTTAAGAAAAGATACGTAATTAACAAAGTTTTAAAGGGAAGAATGAGAATAGAAGGAGCAGAGGGCCAGGGCGAGGCTGGAGCCGGTAATGAGGAGGAGGAGGATTAAGTCTATCCTTCCCTGGGCTGAAGAACTGTCTAGTTTTCCAGTGAGACAATAAAACAGTATCAACACTTTAAAAAAAAGGAAGAAAGAAAGAAAGAGCAGAGGGACAACAGTCTGTGGACATGTTTAACATGAGGAAAAAGGAAAAATTAAAACTACTCAAAATGTTTTTACAAAACCACTCCTAAACAAGAAGTAACCACAAAGCACCCAGTTTGAGAAGTGCAGACCTAATACAAGTCCCATCTACAAAGGGACTTCAATGTAATCTTCCAAAGAGACAGGTGCATAGAGAACTCAAAGTAGAGCACTCTAGCATGGAGTTCTTTCCTGAGGAAGGCGGCAGGAGAAGGCAAACAGATTTGTGCACTGGGAGGATGGAACGCATGCACTTGAATTCTGCATTCTCAGGCTGAGCCCTGCCAAGCACATGGAGTTCTGGATTCTTTTCTGGCTAGTGCTCCTGACTTACCGTCTGAAAACTGGGCTCAGGACATCTTCACTGGCCAGGACTTCTGGTTTTTCCCAGGAAAGTTGTGATAACAAGCCATACTCGGTTTCCATGGGCAGCTGCCCAGCACCCTCTTCTCTTACCAGTCTACAGCTACCCTTGAGAAACTTGCCCTTGTCAGGTAAGGACCACTGTCCGCTCCTCTCCAGAACCAGGGCTCCAGTCCTGCTGCTCCAAGCTGCTTCCCCAGAGCTCTGCTGGACAGTTCCACCTGCCTTAGACTCAGTCTGGATCCCCAACAACCACCTTTTCTCTTCCAATCCTCCCCTCCTGCAGGGCTCCCTCTGTTTGGGTATTCATGACATCACTTTATCCTAGTCCTCTGGGGTAACAAGTGTAGATATTTCTGGGTTCTTTTTCTTCATTGCTCTTGCTGAATTAGTTTTTTAATCTCGTTACATTTCTGAAACAATCCTTAATTTTAGCCCCTCTCATCTGTTGGCACTGCCGTCATAGGAGCTCCCAGCATAGAGCATGTCTCCCTCTTAAATGATGGATTCTCTGCCCCATTCCCCCCACACCCCCCTACCAGCAAGCTCTCCCGCACACTACACCACCATCAGTTACCCACTGAGCAGACGCCGTAAAGCAGATAGTCTGTGCAATCATCGTTGATGGGCTCCATTGCAGCTCCTTGCTTTGCCTGACAATCAGCTGGTCCCATTTACCTATGCAGCTTTACAGCCTGTTGTTTTCTCCTCTTTTTTTTTTCTCCTCTTTTTCAGAAGGAGCCCTCCATCCCAGTGCCACCACCTCCCTGACAGCCCCATCCCAGTCTTGATCCTTTTGCTTTATGGTTTTCTGATTGTCCCGTCCAACTCCAAAAAGACAGACCCTGTAATTTATTCCTCTTGCTGATAATTCTCAGTGCCTCCATGGATCAGATGTTTAATAAGTTGAATTTGCCTTTGAATTCATGAAAAAAAATTTGAAAAATCACCAAGCACCCCTTATGGCAGTTGACTTCTGCAGTCTCCTGGTCAGGACTGAAGTCCACAGAATACTAATGGCTTTCCCAGGCAGCATCACAGGTACAGAAGGTTTTTATAAACTATTCCAACAGCCTGGTCAGGACAGGATAGAATTAATCAAGAGCAAAAGGAGTACCTGGCATTACTGCACAGGCCATGAAAATATAATTAAATTGAAGATAAAAGGAATTAAAATCTGCCATATAATATTTTTAAAAGCCATGATAGTAGAAGAGGAGGTTTATTGCTAAATGCCCCCTGTGTATCTATTTAATCAACATACCCCCTAGGATAGCACCACATTAAAAGCTTTTAATAAAACAGTCATTTGGATATTGGATTTGAATTCTGGTCAGCATGCTCAAGCTCTTCCGCAAATCTTTTAAAAGCAATTTCCACTTCGTAGCTTCCTAGTAACAGTAGAAACATGAATCAACATACGTTGCATTGATTTGGGGTTTCCATGGAGACTGGAAGGACACAGGGAAGGGAAGGACAGAAAGAGGCCACTTGGCCCAAAATTCTACTTTAAGAAAAAAAAATATATCTCAC